GTTTTTTGTTCTAAATAAGATGAGTGAACAGTGTTTGTACATGAATACAAATAGGCCTTAATTATAAATGGCTTGTAGTTTGTAGTGTTCAGATCTGTCCAAACTCAAACAGCCATTGTCTATAATTTAAAACCTTACAACAGTAAAAAAAAATGTTACCTATCTCAATCTCCTAAAAACATTTTTACTGCCTATGAACTAGTATAAATATACATACATTTTTTAACATCATGTTCATTCCAGAAGAAAAGTTTGGTGTGGTATCTGGAATCGTTTCAAGAAGTGCCAACAGTATGAAAATCTTGAAAATATGTGTAAGAAAATCTTCATTTTTTTTGCCTAAGCATTCAGTAAAATGAGCTACATTTAAGGGCACTAACTGGGGTGGGGTGGGTGCATATATAAATTCAAAATAAGATAGGTGTGCTTTACCCACAAACACATCCACATCCTCTTCCAGTGTGCTAGCCAGGACTATCACAATAGGGGGCATGTGCAGTTTAAAATAATAAATGCAGTTGCTTGTGCCATCACTTTTATTAACCCAATAATATAAATATAAGAAAATTTGTAAAAAAAAAATTCTAAGCCAATACTTGAAAATCAATAGTTTATGTTAGTTGACAATAAGTACTGGTTTTTGCTGTGCTGGTTTTTGGATCTTGGGGTGCATTTTATGATTACAAAAACAGTAATTTTAATATCATATTTTTAAATTTATCAAAAGATTGAGTCGGCCACATCTGACATTCATGCATAGACAAATGACACAATTATAAGACATATATTTAATCCAAATACGCATCACGATAATCATTATTAATTTATTTACACACTGGATAAACGATTGTAAATGTCCCTGTTTTACATTTAAAAATGTTAAAATGTCCTGGTTTTGATTTTGAGAAAAATGGTCACCTTAAGCTTATGTAACATAAGAAATACGTAGATCAGTTGTTCCCAAGCTGCTTACTTACTTACACCTTTTACCCCACCTTGGGCATAGGCAGTCTACAAAAATGTTCCATTCATCTTGGTCATGTGCTTTCCTTTCCAGTTGCTTCCAGGTGTATCCCATACTTTGTGTTCTGCCTCTAGCTCACTTCTCCACATATTCTTTGACATTCCTCTCTTTCATTTTCCCTGTGAATTCCATGTTAGGGCTTTTCAGGTGATATTATCTTGGAGTTTACAAAGAGTGTGAACTATCTTTTCCTTATTATTTCTTCAGTAATTGACCCTTGGTATGTCCTTTCCAGTAAGTTTTTATTTTGGTGATGATATGTGGCCATTTTATGTTAAGGATCTTTATAAGGCAAGTGTTTGTGAAGGTCTGTTCTTTCTGCGCTATACTCACTGTTGTTCTTCAGGTTTTGCCTCCATATAGTAGAACTGTTTTAATTTGTTGAAAATTCTGACTTTGGTTTGCAGAGTCAGCTCCTTTGACTCTCATATTTTCTTTAATAGCACAAATGCTGACCTAGTCTTTCCCATTCTTTAGCCCAGACATTAGCTTCATATCCACCATTTACGTCAATGGTGCTGCTCAAGCACATGAAGGCCTCCGCACATTCCAGTGCATTCCTTGACAAGGAGATATGCTCTTGGTTTTTACCTTTATGATCTTGCTTTTATTTATATTGAGTCTGAGCTGTACTGAAATGGTGGCTACCGGTACATCTTTTGTCTTTTCCTGCATTTGTTGCTGGTTGTGGGACAGGAGTCTTTAACCGATCTCTCTGGCTGCTTGTATCTTCCTGAGAGCTATCTGGTTATATCATAGAGTTCTTTGCCCTTTATTGCTGTTGTTTATTTTGTTGATGACGTAAGTCCACCTGTGTAATCTCTTTTATGCATTTTAATACTGTTCGTTACCTTTTATTGGCTTCTTTATATTGATCCTGTGTTTTTGTTTTCTCTGCCCTGGTGCGGCTGTTGTTTACTGCAGACTTCATTTCTTTCCTCACATCTATTTTTGGATGTGTTGAGTGAGAGCAAATCTTTGTGTTGTGTGAGAGCCAATCTTTTGTGTTGATTGAGAGACAATCTTTGTGTTGATTGAG